TAACAGAAAGGGAAAAACCATAGATCTGTTCAAGAAAATTGGAGAAATGAAAGGAACATTTTGTGCAAAGATGGACATGAAAAAGGACAAAAATGGTAGGAACCTAACAGAAGCATAAGACATCAAGAAGAGGTGGCAAGAATACGCAGAGGAATAATACCCAAAAGATCTGGATGTCCTGGACAACCCAGATAGTGTGGTTGCTGACTTTGAGCCAGACATCCTGGAGAGCAAATGCAAGTGGGCCTTAGCAAGCATGGCTAACAATGAGGCCAGTGGAGGTGATGGCATTCCAGTTGAACAATTTAAAATCTTAAAAGACGATGCTTTTAAGGTGCTATACTCAATATCCCAGCAAGTTTGGAAAACTAAACAGTGGCCAGAGGGTTGGAAAATGTTAGTCTACTACATCCCAATCCCAAAGAACGGCAGTGCCAAAGAATGCTCCAACTACTGTACAACTGCACTCATTTCACATGGTAGAAAGGTTATGTTCAGAATCCTACAAGGTAGGCTTCAGTAGTATGTGGACTGAGAACTCCCAGAAGTACAAGCTGGATTTCGAAGGGGCAGAGGAACTAGAGACCAAATTGCTAACATGCACTGGATTATGGAGAAAGCCAAAGAGTTCCAAAAAATATATATATATCTACTTCTGCTTCATTGACTACGCAAAAGCCTTTGACTGTGTCAACCACAGCAAACTATGGCCAGTCCTTAAAGAAATGGGAGTGCCTGACCACCTTATCTATCTATATGTGGGACAGGAAGCAACAGTTAGAACTGGATATGGAACAACTGATTGGTTCAAAATTCGGAAAGGAGTATGACAAGGCTGTATATTGTCTTCCTGCTGATTTAACTTATATGCAGAATACATCATGCGAAAGGCTGGACTGGAAGAATCCCAAACTAGAATTAAGATTGACAGAAGGGGTATCAACAATCTCCAATATGCAGATGATACCATTCTGATGGCAGAAAGTGAAGAGGAATTAAAGAAAATCTTAATGAGGGTGAAAGAGGAGAGCACAAAAAATGGTCTGAAGCTTAACATCAAAAAAATTAAGATCATGGCCACTGGCCCCATCACCTTTTGGCAAATAGAACAGGAACATATGGAGGCAATGACAGATTTTACTTTCTTGGGCTCCATGATCACTGCAGATGGTGACACCAGCTATGAAATTAAAAGACGCCTGCTTTTTGGGAGGGAATTGATGACAAACCTAGACAGCATCTTAAAAAGCAGAGACATCACCTTGCCGACAAAGGTCCACATAGTCAAAGCTATGGTTTTTCCAGTAGCGATGTAGTAGTGAGAGCTGGACCATAAAGAAGGCTGACGGCTGAAGAATTGATGCTTTTGAATTGTGGTGCTGGAGGTGACTCTTGAGTCCCGTGGACTGCAAGGAGAAGAACAAACCTATCCATTCTAAAGGAAATCAACCCTGAGTGCTCACTGGAAGGACAGATCCTGAAGCTGAGGCTCCAATACTTTGGCCATTTCATGAGAAGAGAAGACTCCCTGGAAAAGACCCTGATGTTGGGAAAGTGTGAAGGCAAGAGGAGAAGGGGATGACAGAGGAGGAGATGGTTGGACAGTGTCATCAAAGCTACCAACATGCATTTGACTGAACCCTGGGAGGCAGTGGAAGACAGGAGGGCCTGGCGTGCTCTGGTCCATAGGGTCACGAAGAGTTGGACACAACTTAACGACTAAACAACAAAAACAACAAAGTCCAATACAAGAAGATGATATATGATGAAGATAAAATAAAGAAAAGATGGAAAAATATACTGAAAAAATATACAGAAGAGATGCAAGGACAAGAGATTCCTTTAATGAAGAATCCTATGAAGAACCTGCAATTTTAGAATGTGATATTAAACTTGCTCTCAAAGCACTTGCAGGTGTCTGTTGGTTAGCCAGAACTGATAGGTTCAGGGTCTGTGCTTCAAGTTAAGGGTTCTGGGTGAACCAAACTGTGTGTATGTATGAGTGAGAATAAGCCACGTTACTTTATCTTATTTACCTGATTGTTTATTTTTCCCTGTGTGTATTTAAAATAAACCTTATTCTTTTTATTGTTTAAAAATCCATCCCTGGTCTGTGTGACTTCTTAAAGGGAATGGTTGGTGGCAGCTTAGTGTAACTGTGTGGCAGATCCCAGTAGGTCTGGGTTTGTCACAACAATACTGATGGAACTATTCCAAGCTACAGAGACTGAATCAGAGAAGAAGCTCACTGCCAAGCAAGGAGAACACATTTGGACATTTTTATACCATAAAGCAACTGAGTTGTATAGAAGCTTCAGTGATATGAAATGACAAGCTAACAAGTGATCAAGGTAAACTGTACCTTGTTAAATACTAACAGTATTGTACCATGTGCTATTTTCAGTTATCAGTTAATGGGATGGCATTAACTAACAACTAACAATCAGTTTTTAAAACCCATGCATTCAAAGTTCAGAAATTCAAACAAACATACTTGCTATATTTGGAAAATAGGTTGTGGGTAACAAAACACAGCAACAAGAATATACAAGCCCAATTTAAAAAATGCATGTATCATGAAAACTATTATTATACTCTTTTCCCTAATACTTAAGAATGTGGATTACTGAATTGACTATTATTTATGTGTTACCTCTACAGTTCCTCACTCTGACTACATAAGAGATTATCAGGAACTGCCTGTGCTTATATGCATTCAAAACTGGACTTTGCTTCTACAGAGACAGGACAACAGACAAGGTAAAGACATCTCTTTTAGAACTGTGCTGCAGCCACAAACATGCAATGACAGTAGTATTAATGTAGCACTAATTATGCACTCTACAACTATTATAAGGACTTAAGCAATGCTGATTTTTAAAAGACATAATCAAATCAGACAGATACTTCTGAACCTGTGAGATGTCTGACCCATGAAGCACAACTAGAAGCGTTTACAAAGCTAAAACAGTGAGTTGCAACAACTCAGTAAATTAACAGTGGTATTTATTTTCACATTGGCTTTCACCACCAAACCTAAATCTACACAGTACCTACTTCTACTCCATAATGACACAATGAAGTGTGAGAATTTGTATTGGGAAGAACTGGTCTAAAAGTGAGATTTTATCAGTAGGTTTCATAACAGTAGAAGATACATTTCTTTTATACAAATCTGAACAACTATTGCTCATATCTTTAGTGTGCCAACAGTTTTATATAATAGACCGATTTCAACAAACAACGACAGTGTACACAGCAGAAAAACATGAAAGCCAATGTTGTTATAGCCAAATTTTCACTGAACAAAAAGCCAATCCTTCAACCATGAAAACATCACATCATAGGACACAAGCCAGAAGAGGCTGATTACCAAAGGTCACCTGTTCTGGAGCCCACACACTACCTTAGGTAAAGAATGCCATATCCGAATAATATGAATAGGATTTTAATTCTTGTACATTCTGGAATGGCAATACTGGCCCATGTGAAAAGCACTTAGATGAATAACAGCCAGTGCTAGCATAGAATCTTCACAGTGAGTAGGCATGTTTCCAAATACGTTAAGAGTGATCTTCTTGTGTGACGCTGGATCTTAGATGGGAAATGTTACATTTCTGGATTACAGCTCTCAGAATCACCCAGCCAGAGGATCATAATGGCCATGGTCAAAATGTGACAGCAACTTCTAAGAACTTGTCTTCATGTCAGCTCTGCATCATTAAGGCTACAATACTGTACATATTGAATTAACTTTGGCAGCATCATAAAACGAAACAGATTTCCTACTAGAGTTTATGTCTCACACTCTGTGTATGTTTGCCAATCCCTGGCCTCTACCTTACAAATGTCTCTCCCCACCACCACTCTGGCTTCAAAACAATCTAGCCTTCAAGATTGTTTTGCTTTGCCACTTTAGAATTGCTTCAGAGTTTACTCAGAGATTTAATGCAGCTTTGGCCTGCCAAAAAGGATTGTCTGTGGGATTCTGTAAATTTATCTGGCAGTCTTTCTGGCTGACTATCTGGAGAATATTTTAGAGGTTTTAAAAAAAGAAAGACAGACAGAAAGAGAAAAGGAGAGACCTGCAGCAAGAATGCCCTCCCTCCCCACCCCCCGCCACCCCTATCAATTTCTTTTTTTGCAAATAATTCCTCTACAAGACATCACATTTAGCCAACACTGTGTGTGGGGTTGAGCAATACTCCTCTACTGCCTACAACTGTAGCTTCAAGGCAGACGTCAATGAAATAGCTCTAGCACACCCTTCAAGATATGCCGTCTCCAAACCCAAACACACACTCAAGGAGTCTGATTTAAAAATAAAGTTCACTGAGCAATTTGGGTAACGCTACTATCCTCAAGGCTAGAGTTACTGCTCTCCAAATATTTTGGAATCTGGAATTCTCACGACCCTTCTTTATTTGCAATGCAGCCTTGCAATGGATCAGAGCTGAGGTCCAAAACATCTGGAGAGCGCAAGCTTGAGGAAGGCTGCTTGCTCTAGTCTAGTCTAAACAGTTCGGAAGGATCTTACATAAACGAAGCACCCTTTTAGTGCCACACAGACGAAGACGGGGGGAAAAAAGAAGAAGCGACAGATCCCAGTCTCCGCCTCCACGATCCAACTCATGGTCTGCAAGTCATCTGTACTGGTGCGTGCGTGTTTTTGTGCTCTTGCAAAAAAAGAGAGAGAGAGAGAGAGACAGACATCTGGAGTCAAGACTCCCCAGCCGCGTCTAGTCCATGGTGGAATGCGACGGGGGGGAAGTGGAAAGTTGCAAGCGGGAGCAAGCAAAGGAGGAGAGCCAAGTTGTTGTTTTCGCTACTCCCTCAGTGCTACACAAATATTGCATTGCAATCACATGACAACATTC